CAGCCCTGACCCCCAGAGCAGTGCTTGTTCCCTCACTGCTCAGTGCCACTCACCCTTTCTTTCTCAACTGTATTGTCCCTGAACATTTGCTCCCCCCCCCCCCCCCCGCCACACACACACACCCTGACTGAGCAAGAGGACGGAGATGGGGCCTGACTCACCCATGTTCCTTGAGCCAGCTAGGGCTGGGCACTTGGGAGCCTGGAAAATCTGCATGGGTTTTGCTCCTTTCTAGAACTGGCAGGGCCCTCTAGAGATGGGGAAACTGACACCAAGGGGTCAGAGTCATGCGATAAAGTCAGGACACAATGTGGTCTGGGTTGGGATGAGGTGGCTGGAGCCAGGATCTGCTCTTGAGTCCATTTTTATAGATTCTCTCCAGATCTTGCCTTGACAAAGCTGCACTGAGTGTCCAGGAGTGGGCGAGAGGAGCTTAGAATGTTGCAGTTTTGCCTGAGGGACTGTGCAGGCATCTGTAAAACCCTAGGTGGGCATGAAGGGGCACACTTCTTTACCATCCAGGCAGGCCTCGGCGGGGCCTGAATCCATAACTACATCATGCATCTTCCCTTCTCCTATTTCTGCTGAGCGTGAGGCATGCAGAACGTACTGAGCTTGGTTTTGAAAACGGGGTCTCTGTTCCAGCCTGTGACTGAGCTGAGGCAGGGTCCTGCCATAGCACTGGGGGACCAGAGACAGAGGCTCCTGCTGAGGGAGAGCCTCAACCTGGGCCTGCCCACCTGCTCCCTTACTGTATTTTCAAGTCCGTCCAGGGGAAGTAACAGTACATGTCCAATGAATGAATTCGAAATGAGTGAATAGGCTCACTTCATAGTAGCAAATTGAGACCAGTTGTGGTGGTGGTGGTGGGGAGGGATGCAGGGCGGGGAGAGCTTGGTGCGTCTTCCACTCCCCCCTCATGCCAGATGGGTCACCCAGGCCTGTCTGTCTAACCTCTGAACCCTCTTAACTCCACCCCAGTCTTCATCCTCACCACTCTAAGGCTCTCATCTTTTCTCCCTGGACAACAGCCTCTTAAATGAGTCCCTGCTTCCGGTCTAGGCTTTCCAACCCTTCCTCCTCTCCCCAGCCTGGGATTTCCTTCTAAGGCACAAGCTGACCTGTCTCACTGGTGCTCAGAAGCTCTCAATGGCTCCCCATCCCCCACAAGATCCTAAGACATTCTTATGCTTGCTAAAATTTAAGAATGATCACCTTAGGAAATTTCATTGTATGCCTTTGAAATTCAAACAGCTTTGGGCCCAAATCCTGATTCCATTGCTTATTAGCTCTTTTTTACAGGTAGGTCCTCTTTTCCCATCTGTAAAATGGGGCTGTTATCAGGCATAAATGGGGCGAGGTTTGTGATGAGCTTGGGACAGTGCCTGGCCAGCAGGAGCAGCAGTAGTTGTACTTATCCCCATTTTACAGATGAAGAAACAAGTTCAATGAGGTTAAGTTTCTTGCCCACGGCCCTACATTATGTTAGTGATGAACTAGGATGGGAGCCTGTCTGCATCTATCCAATATGTAAGGGAAGGAGGAATGCCTCAGGACACTAACCTGACCCCTTGGGGCACCCGTATATCCCTAGGTGCAAGCAAAGCCTGCAGCAGGGTCTGTTGGTGTGGCAGCAGCAAGTGCCTTCTGACTTTGACTTGGCTTATGCCGATTTCCTCTCCCTGGACATCAGTATGCTACGGCTCTTTGAGACCTTCCTAGAGAAGACACCGCAGCTCACGCTGATCCTGGCCATCGTGCTGCACAGTGGCCGGGCTGAGTGCTACCAATGTGAGTAGTAGGACTACCAGCATCCAGTCTCCCTTTTATGGCTGGATAGTTTCTCATAAATATCAGAAATGCTTTCCCTCTTTTATAAGGGCTGCTTAGAAAATAGAACATCCTTTAGTCAGGCAGGTCTGGGTTCAAATCCAATGTGAAATCCAAACTCCAGCAGAAGGGATTTAGACAAATGACTCAACCTCCCTGAGTATCAGTTTGTTTTCATCTGTAAAATGGACATAATAAATGACTCTACCTCATAGGATTGACGAAAGGGATGAGTGAGGTGATACATATAAAGCCCAGTGCCTGGTGCATAATAAATCCTAATTGTAATTTTTACTATTTTGAAGAAAACAGATAAAGTGTGTAGGGTGCCTGACCCATAATAGGCAACTTGTTAGTCAATAAACTGTTTATTGAGCACCTTCATACACTTAAGCTTTCATTGAGCACCTTTGGGCCTGTCCCTGTGCTCGGGACACCACAGTGAACAAGAAGGACAGAGCCCCTGCTCTGCTGGGATGATAGACCATAAAGCAGGTAGTTTCAGTTAAGTGGGTTGAGTAATCTGAGAAGGGGAGGCATGTGGCCCTCTAAGCCATGGGAGAAGTTTGTACACTGAGCAACTTTGGGAAGGTTTTCTCCTGTGAAAGAGAAGTAGCGTGCCCAACGGCACAGACCAGCTAACAGCCAAGCTAGGACTCCAACTCTCATCTGGTTCAAGGTCCAGGGCTTCCCCTTCTCTGTCACACCCCTGCACACCTTGAGGCCCCCTCTGCTGTAAATACCACAGCCTCCAAGGAGCCAGTCCCCACTCTGCCGTCACTCACTATGTGACCTGCAGAGCCTGCCCCTCTCCAGCCTGTTTCCATGGCTGTACAAGATGGGGTTGGACTTGATCTCGAAGGGCCCATTCAGCTTGCTAAGCTGAGTCTGTAGTATTAATTGAAAGAAACACAACAACAAAAAAACAGCAATAGCAGCTGTCACGACTGAGTGCTTGCTGCTAACCGGGCACTGTGTAAAAGTGCTTTGTTGAAAGTGCTCACGTTCATAGCCCTATAGGTTGGTGCTATGTTTATCTCCATTTTACACAAGAGGAAAGAGGTGCAGAAAGGTAAAGCGATTTGCCCTGGGCCGTGCAGCACTCACTGGGCTCACGTTTTTCTTTGTCTGGTTGAGGGCAGGGGATGTCTAGGACCAGGGCCCAATGAAGACAGTCTCTATTGTATGTGTATGGAGAGCGGGCAGGGGGAGGGGCAAGAGAAGAGACAGATTTTCCCAACTTTTTATTTAGCAAACATTGATTCAGCTGCTATTATATGCCAGGTACTGGGGATCCCAGGGGAGCAGAATCTATTTTCTGCAGAGCTCAGAGATAAGGAAATAATTACTTAGACAGAAGTGGGTAGAGTGGTACAGGGTGCCTGCACAGTGGTGTGGGTGGGGTGGGGTCCAGATGGGTGACTCTAGGGGATACTCAAGCTGGAACTTGCAGGGTAAGGAGGAGCAGACCAGGGGAAAGGGGACGTGTGCTCCTGGCCTACCTAACATCATGGGCAAAGCTTGTCCAGGTCAAAGAATGTGAGGTGTTGGGCCCTGCTGAGACCTAGAGTGTGGGGTAGATAGAAAGGACGATGGCCACAGATCTGATTCCAGGCTGGGCGTGGGTTCCTGGCCCATCACATGTTCCCAGTGAAGCCTCGAATGGATGCAGTGAAAGGGAGCAGGGGAGGGAGCATTCTAGAGACATTGCAGTGCTGCTTCCCTCCCTGCCTGGAGACTATGGTGCTTCTATTCCATGGCGGGCAACCAGGAGGTGGGATAGGATTCCCATTGTAAACTTCTGAGTCTTGGAAAATCAAGACCAGGGCCCAGTGTGAGTGGGGAGGGGAGCGGAGTGAGGGATGTTCCGTCCATACAGCAGGGCAACATCAGGGTTTCCAGCTTAGGGAGAACTGGAACTGCTGATTTTCAGGCCCAGGAAAGGCTTGGGCTCTTCCAGGAAAGGGCTCTGTAAGATGCTCAGGACGTGGCCAGCACCCAGGCGTATAGATGAGGGTGTATGCATCACACACCCACTCACCCTTGTAAAAATATCACTATGGTAGCACCTGAAAAGCAAAGCTTTATAGTGAAGGGCAGACACCATATTTGAATCCCAGGTCTGTTTTGGGCTGTGAGAAATTATTTAATGTTCTCCAGCTATAGTTTTCCCTTCCACAAATTGGGGGTTTTAGTACCCACCTTAGAGTGGTTATGAGGACCCCCAGAACCAGTGAGCTCTAGGGAGCACCAGGCAGGTTGCCCACAGGGCTCAGCTGTTTCCGCTTTCTCTTGCAGGGGTCGTCATTATCATGTCCCTCGTGAGTATCTCATGGGCACTGCTTGACTACCACCGGGCCTTGCGCACCTGCCTTCCCTCCCAGCACCACCTCCGGCTGGGCTCCTCTGTGATCTACTTCCTGTGGAACCTGCTGCTGCTGTGGCCCCGAGTCCTGGCTGTGGCCCTGTTCTCAGCCCTCTTCCCCCGCTATGTGGCTCTGCACTTCTTGGGCCTGTGGCTGGTGCTGCTGTTGTGGGTCTGGCTTCAGGGCACTGACTTTATGCCAGATCCCTGCTCTGAGTGGCTGTACCGGGCAACGGTAGCCACCATCCTTTACTTCTCCTGGTTCAATGTGGCTGAGGGTCACACTCGAGGCCGTGCCACCATCCACCTGATGTTTCTCCTGAGTGACAGCGCTCTCATGGTGGTCACTTGGGTGCCTTACGGTGCCTGGCTGCCTAGTGGGATCCTGTTGCAGATCTTGCTGCCCGTGGGAGGCGCCAGCTTCCTTTTGGGTCTGGTTCTACGGCTTGTCTACTACCACTGGCTGCACCCTCGCTGCCACTGGGAGTCTGCCCAGGTGGATGGGACCCGGGCCCTCCACTTCCCTGAGTGGTGTCAGCTGCCTCAGAACAGTCGCATGATCGAGTTGGCTCAGAACTTTTTCCCCAAGGCTAGGGATGAGGCTTCTTTGCCATGGGAGGGAGAGGTGAATGGGGTCCTTTAAGGCAGGGTCAGACCCAGCCAGGGACAGGACGACAGATGGAATCAACTGGTAAAATGCAGAAGCTAAGCTAATAATGCTGCTATAGGCCTTGATTCACTCAACAAGCACTGATGCCTGATCTTGCCAGGCACTGAAGGCCAGAGTTGAGTAAGACAGGCCTGCCTTCAAGGATGAGAACAACGTGAGAAGGGCCAGGTCTTAGAGGGTGAAGGGCCCAATTGTGTACAAAACACTTTGGGAGGAAAGAAGAGATCTCCTCCCCCTTTTCTCTTTCTCCCAACCAGTAGAGCTGGTGCTCCAAAGCTTCCCCGTGTTGGTATTGCCACCTCCAAAATAATTGGTAGGGGTGCTGTCCCACCCCTTGGTCCCCCTATCCCAGGCTAGAATGGCCCTAAGACCTCCAAGATGTGTTCTCTAGAATTCTTCCTCCCGTGCCCCACCTCACTTCATTCTAGTGGAGACATAAACAGGCTAAGTAGAACAGTGTATCGGATAGTGTTAAGTGCTAAAAGTAGGGAAGGGGACAGGGCGAGTGTGTTTATGTTTTGGTGTGTTATGTCATTCAGTTCATTCACCAAGTGTTTACTGAGAGTGTTTTATGTGCCAGCAACATCATTCTATCCTTGGAACCAGGAACAAGATCAGCTGCCACCCCTACCCTCTCCAGCTGCTCCTGTGTGGGCTCATGCTGGAAGCCAGAGATGCCCACCTGGCTGGCCTGCGACAACCCCTCGAAGGCCTTCGTGCAGCTGGCCCAACGTTTGTCCCTGCTCTCAACCAAGTGCCTTGTGAACCTGTGGTCAGGGTTCGGGCACAGCCCATTGAGTATTTTTTTATATTTCAGACAGTGTACTTTCTACCTCAGTCTATATAAGAAGAGAATGTGTGTGCCTGTGTCTCTGTGAGACATGTGTTGTTGTTTTTGAACAGTATTAGGTTATTATTAAAATCTCATGAAATCTTCCAACCTAGTTGTGTCAACACAATTCAAAGCTGCTGGGCAAGAGGGGGGTCAGGGACACAAAGTCCATGGCTCAAAACTGGTAAAGGCTCTGGGACAGAGAAGAGGGCTGGCTTAGGCAGGACCCCTCAACCTTGTTTTCCAAGTTTCTGGAGCTGATGAGCCAGTGCGGGGTTGATAGTTCAAGTGGGCATGAGAACCTGGACTGACTAGTGTGTGCTGCTGGGCCTGGCAGGCGTAGCCGCACCCTTTGTACCAGGAAGTGAATATGGGAGCCCAGGGGAAGGCGTTTTTGCTGGGAGCTCAGGGAGGGAGTAAAGGATGAGGTGGCTTAGGGGATGTGCAAGTGGGCAGTGGTGCCAGGGAGGTGGAACCGTTTGTTGCTCCTGGCAGGTCTGGTTTGGAGAAACTAGGAACAGGAAAAAGGCGCTGGAGACAGAAGAAAAGGTTGCAGTCACCACTGTGATGGGGCTCAGGAGAGTCTCAGTTTCATCATTCATTCATTCTAGTGGAGACATAAACAGGCTAAGTAAAACAGTGTATCGGATAGTGTTAAGTGCTAAAAGTAGGGAAGGGGACAGGGAGAGTGTGTTTATGTGTTGGTGTGTTATGTGGAAGTTAGTTTTATACAGAATGGCCAAGGAAGGCCTCCCTGAGAAGTCAAGCCTTACTAAAGATGAGGGAGCTACGCACATGAATTGTATCCCAGACACCCAGTCAACAGTGACTGTATGAAGGAGGGCTTGTAGGGGCTTATTGGCCCGCAGCCAAGGATGACACAGAGATGAGGGTTGGGAGCAGAGAGAGGTTCTGGGAAGATGATGCTGTGTTTTTTTGTTTGTTTTGTTTTGTTTTTAAGCTGAGCCATCCTGCTACCAGTTGGCAGCTCAATGGCTGCTCAGCTTGGGCTGGGAATTGAACCGTTGTTGCTCAGAGCTCAAACTCTTAAGCGAGCTCTTAACTGAGCCACTCGGCCGGCCCGATGCTGTGCTTTTTTACATACATAGAATAGTGGAGGCAGAACAAATTTCCAAACTTTTGAATTTCATGGATCAGTAAAATGGCCAACGTGATCATCAACTTAATTTTAACAAAAAAGGCAGTAAAAACCACCACCATCTATTGTCTTCATCATCTCTAAAAGAAAGGATATGATGGCCTCAGAAAAAGGACCATTCTTTTTAACTGAATACATTTAATCACACACAAAAGGTGAAATCATTATCATTTTTCTCAATTCATAGGGAATATCAAAGGTTGAGACCCGACAGTAGGCTCAGTGCCCAACCGACCCTTGGGCCTAGGTCCTAAGTTTCACTAAAACAAATATTTGTGCCATTTATTGGGTTGTTGGAAAAGTCATGATGCATTTTTGCAACAGATGGCATTAGTTCATTTTTGGAAGTACTAGAGTCATTCACATCTATGTTATTGCTATGTCATTTGACAGCTGACAGTTCTAGCTTCATTCTAAAAAAGAAATTGAGCGATTTGGTTGAGTTATGGAGATTTTACAACAAGTTGGAGATGGAAGACCAAACTGCATTTTTGCCATATTTTACTGTTTTACTTCCATAAAGAGAACACATGTCAAGCTTGTGAAAAGTTGCATAAAGTTTATGGTGACAATGCTCTACAAGAACGTCAGTGCCAACGATGGTTCACGAAATTCTGTGCTGGTGATTTTGATCTCAACGATGCTCCTCAGGGAGGCCCACCGAGGTTGATGACAAAATAAAGGCATTGATCAAGTCAAACCCACGTTACATGACCCAAGAGACTGCAGAAAGATTGAACATCCATCATTCAAGCATTCACGACCACCTGAAGAAGCTGGGATAAGAAAGCAAGCTCGATATTTGGGTTCCGCATGAACTCAAAGAAGTTCATTTGATGGCGCGTATAAACATCTGCGATATGCTCATTAAACATGAGGAAAACAATCCTTTTTTTGAAGCGACTGATAACTGGTGATGAGAAGTGGATTGTTTACAACAATGTGGTGCGCAAATGTTCTTGGTCCCGACGTCATGATTTGCCTCAAACGACATCGAAAGCAGACATTCATCAGAGGAAGGTTATGCTCTCAGTGTGGTGGGATTTTAAAGGTGTCGTGTTTTTCGAGCTCCTACCAAGAACCAAACAATCAATTCAAATGTGTACTGTCGGCAGTTGGACAGTTTGAACAAATCTATCATCCAGAAACGTCCAGAGCTTGTTAATTGTAAAGGAGTTGTGTTCTATCGCGATAACGCGAGACCACACACAAGTTTGATCACCCGTCAAAAATTATTGGAGCTTGGATGGGATGTGCTGCCACACCCACCGTACTCGCCTGACCTTGCGCCGTCAGATTTCTGCTTGTTTCGCTCTCTTCAAAACTCCTTGTGTGGTATAACATTCAATTCAGATGAGGCTGTAAACCAGCACCTTGTTCAGTTTTTCCCCGATCAAGACAGGTCCTTCTATGAACAAGGAATTGTGAAGCTCACTGAAAGATGGTAAAAGGTTATCGAACAAAACGGGCAATGTATCATTAATTGATCTTTGTTCTTTATATAAATAAATGCTCTCTGAAAAACATGACAAAATATGTCATGACTTTTCCGACAGCCCAATACTTTTCCATATTTCTTCCTGTCCCACGTGGAGAATAGGCTCAGGGAAGAAGCCAAACATGTCAACAGAAGATGCAATGTTTTAGGAAATTCCCTTTTTTCCCGAGAAAATCCAAAAAGATGTTTTTAATTTTTTTGCATTCTCATCTATACTCTAGATGAAATTGTCAAATGATGGTAATATGTATGCAATTAACTCCAAACAATGTATAGTGTACTACCTAAAAAGCTGCAGAAAAAGGTTTGAATATACACTTAGAAGTTTACAGAATCAAGAACTTTAAAAAGATGAGTGACATTACATGCCATTAGAAATTTCCTTTGAAGATTCTCATGTATGTTATTAAACATCAAGAAACTTGAATAAAAACCTCCTGAATTGCTTGCTACCAAATTTTTTTGAGAAATGTGCCGATGTTATACTTATTGTAGGGAGAGAGGGAGATGTTTATTCTTTGGGTGTGAGAAGCAATCAGTATTCTAATATTTGTATTTACAACCAAGTAAGGACATAGCAACAACCAAATTTGCTTCTACTAGAGTGGTCCAAAAGATGCGCCTTCTGTGAAAAGATTTAATGCCTAGAATACATGGCAACCCCTTTTCTGGGGTAATTTTGGAAAAAAAAATCTTGTGATCTGACATGTATGGTGCTTGGAAGCTAGAACTGAATTCTGATCTTCACTGGAATAAAAGGCAAAATAATTTTTTACTTTTCCAGATCAGTAATGGACAGTCAGACTCAAAAATCTGAAGAAATAAAATGAGAAAAAGTTAATGTAACATGAAATCAGGCCAAATCAAACAAGGTTTGATATCAGTTTGTCAGTTTTATTGCTTTTGCGTTTTAAGCTCAGCACAGCAAGGTATTCTCCAATAATTAAATTTCAGCACATTTGACAGCAAATGAAATCTTTTACCATACCAGTCCTAAACTTTAAAAAGCAATATATTTTAGAAACAATAAACTTGCCCTTGCAAATTACTTTATTTTCCCATGTACATTTGTTTATACCAAATGGTTAGTTTTGTTTTTACTTTGTTGGTGAAATTAATGACTCAGTTATTAAAGGGTGCTACCTTTCTAATGAGCTCTTCAGATTGTTTTATGAAGCCCTACTTAGGCATCGACTCAGCTGGGCAATGGGGCTGATCCTGTTCAGAAAAGACACGGGAGCAAACTGTATAGAAAATAAAAACTTTATTTATTTTTTTTCAAGTTTACAAGATAGTTCCCATTACATATAACATTATGGTCAAGGACTCTACAGCCACGAATGCCCGCAGTCACATAAATATATCCAATCCAATCCAAGCCTTTTCCTGCTAAAACGAGGCGTCTGTAATCCAGAGGGTCAGGTTTTGATTAGAAGTCGTCCTTAATGGGATGGCTCCCGTCAGTGCATTAGGAACTAGCCAGTGAGTCCTGCCTGCTGGAGCTGTCTGACTTAGAGAGGAAGGGACGGAGGGCCTGCTGATCAGGGATGGGACAGAACTAGATTTTCTCTTGTGTTTTAAGATATTTTAGAATCTCAGAATTCAGATTTGGCTTGTAGAGTGTGACTATCCAGGGAATTCCAACTTTTGGATGAAAAAGGAAACCAATTTAGTGGTAAGAAATAGAAGCTTGCTTGAGAGGAGCCCTACTTGCCCACTTCTGCAGGAGCGAGGAGGAGGAGAACGCCCAAGTTCACCACCCCCTGGCTTAGACCACCCCTCTCCCAGGAAGAGGAAGAGTGCAGCTCTGCCCCTCTACTCTTCTCCCCCATGCTCTGTGGCACTGACACCCATTCAAGGGAGTGACCATCTAGAAACTCCGCATGCTGCGGCTGGAGTTTGCCAATCAGATTCTACCTGGGAGCTTTAAAGCTGAGTTTGTGTAAACTGCGAACAACCTGTGGCAAAAGTCTCCAGGGATACTAGCTTTGCCCCCCCCACCCCAACTTGTAGAGCAGAAGATAGGAACACCCCAAACCAAATAAAAACAATCTAAATGTGGAGCAGGCATCCATTCTCTTGGACACCACCAGCTGCCCCAGGGGCACTGGACAGACAGGGTGATGCTAAGGCACAGTCAGTTTTACATTCGAAAGTCAAGCCACCTCTTAAGAAAACCCAGGACACCTGACAACGCCAGATCCCCCATAGAAAGAGATGGTCCTCGCACGAGACATGCAGGCCCATCGCACGGAACCACAGTGCCCAGCTTGGGGAAGGACTCATCTTGTGGCTAAATTCATGGGGACTCTAGTAAAGAGGGCTTCTCCCCTGACAAAAGGACCCCCCGTGTCCCTGGGCCCTGAGCTTCCAAGAGCTCTTGGTGCACCCCACTTATTTTCCTTTCCAGGTCTTTGTGCTGGGGAGGAGGAAAACATGGGGGAAAAGAACACTGTGTTCTCTGGACAATTCACTGGGGCGAGGAGGACCCAGGTCCCATCTTCTGCCTGCCTTCTACGTGAGGGCGGCAAGAACCCGAAGAGCAAAGGCTGCTCTGTTCGGAGAGCTTCCTCACCTCTCTTGGCCAATTTCAAGTTCTTTCTACAAAGACCTAGGCTGGGCAGTCAGGGCAAAAGGGAAAAGGCCATTGAAAAAGGGGTCCAAGTCATATTCTAGGAATACAAAGCTTCTCCCAAAGGGCAGGGCAAGGGAGGCGTTTGTGCACGATGGGGGTACCACTCCACAGCCTCACAAATCTGAAGCACAGCACCAACAGGGTGGTCTATGTCCCTGACAGGGCAGGAAACCACCAGTTATACTGCTGGCAGGCAGAGGGCTTGGGGCCTGGAAGAAAAGACCCATTCATTCTACAGATTTCTAAGATCAATTATCAAGCAAGGCAGAGCAGCACCTGGGCAACTGCGTTAAACTCAGACCAAGGCGAGGTCTGCTTCAGGCTACATACCCCCAGCCCTCCCCCACCCCGCCAATGGAAACAAGGCCAGAGAGACAGCAAAGTCATGAGCATTGACTTCAGCAACTCTCCAAAGACCTGCTCCCTAAAATTGTGAGTCCCGAAGCAGTTTCTCAATCCGTTGGGAGGAATGTGTACAACAGCTTTCACTGCTGTCTGACTGAGCGGCCTTGGGAGGAGTCTGGCCTTCTTGTGCTGCAAAGGACAAGGATATGCAGAATTTCTGGGGACAGTTACAGCTGGGGTTGGTCAAGGATGCCTCCTCCCGAGGACCCAGACTACATCTCTCTGAGGTGCTTAGATAATCACCCTTCTCTGCAGCCTGGGAGAGGCTGAACTTCCTCAGTGTTAGGGAAGTTTATCCAGCCTGAGCACATGCCCAGGTTGATCTTCCAGGGAACATCCACAAACACAGTTGGGCTGGAAGGCTGGGACTGGCACCTGGCACCCACCAATCTTCCCAGAAGCCAGGCTGAGAGATGTTCCTGCATTTGGCCCAGGATTAAGTTTCTAGGCATGAAGTAGGGGGTCCAGTGCCCTTAAAAAAAAAGTCTTTCTGGCTTCCCATTTTAGAATGAGATTTAAGTGGGAAGGGTGAACCATGGGAAAATTGGGTTCTGACCACAGCACTCTCCTATTCAGTTTCAGGCCGAGATCTGGGTAAATATATGCCCAGAATACCCTTCATAGGGCTTAAGAGCTTCAACAGAAGTCAACTACATTGGTCGTTTTGGCCAAAATGTAGTTATGAGCCTGTTCTTAGACTTGATTTGACTTCTTGGGCTGAAAGCCCAGGGATTGGCCAGAGCTGAATGGAGGTGGCTGTGAGGTATCGAGGGCAGGAAAGAGCCTAGTACTGATGCCTAAGAAGGAAGAGAAGGCTGTAGGGGTGAGCATCTGTTGGGAGAAGAGTGCTTCTCTGTAGGAGGAAAATGTGGAATCTTCCTGTTTCAAGAGCCAAAGAAGCAGAAATTCACAAGAAGCCTTAGTCCTTCTCTCCAGTTTGGAGGTAAGCCCCCTGGGGATAGTCTTTGCATAAAAGAGTCAAGCTGAAGACTTAGCATTTACTGTCCAAGGGAAGGAGTTTCCAGGATTGTGCCATTTGGTTAAAGGGGAAGAGGGATTGGAAAGGGGACTAAGGCTTCTAGGATGGGAAATAGCAAAGTCTGAAGTTAATCAGTGTCCAGTGCCCCACAGTTCAGCAAACTAGGAGATGGAAGAACAGGAGGGAAACCACCCTAGAGAGCAGACCACTGGAGCAGCTAAAGAGGTGCTATTGTCAGAGAGGTATTTTAGATATTTCAATTACGATTTTCCAAGGAAACTTTACACACCCCTTTCTTGCTAGAAAAAAGAAAGGAGGGAAAACCTGCTTCAGAGACCAGACCCTTACTTATAAAAAATTACATATACATTCACTGGGAATGTGCTCTACAGCTAAGATTATAAAGACTGCAAGAGATGTTATTACAAGTTTGCCACATTTATCCTATCACAAGTTAATAGCAGTTCTCAATTAGGTCACGGACTAAGAGTGCAACTCTGCCCCCAAGAATTCCTTTCCTTTTTCTTCATTATTTGAAATAAAACAAACAAAACAAAAAACAGAAGAATTAAAAGCACTGTAGCTGCAGTGAGTCTACTGTTCTCTCAATCCAACTGTCTCCTGCTTCTGCACGAAGATGAACACGGGCTGCAGCTCACTCTCAGCAAAAAGAAGCTTCGTCCCTTGCAGCTGTTGGTTCTGATTGTGTTCTCGCCAGTATTCCATGGAGAAAGATGGAGGGAGGGAAGGAGGAGGGGAGGGAGGGAGGAAGGTGTGGCCGGGAGAGAGAGATCCCAGTTGGTTCCGGTCTCCAGCTCCCTTCAGGAGTGAAAAGGAGCTCGTGGGGAAGGCTCTTCATTTCAGTTCTTAGAGAAAATCAAGCTCCAAAGCCTGGTGAAGGGACACTAGGTCTCCATGGTTTGTGATCCTCCAGAAAGGCATGTTGTGCTAGAAGAGAGCAGAGACAGCTGGTTAACCCAACTTCTTTTAGGATCTCATATTTACCCAAATCCCTTTCTCCAGGGACCTCTCCCCAAAGTGCCTGGTAACCTTCTTACTCCTGCCCACCTCAGGGGGCTGTCATAAGGATCAAATAAGTCATATGTATAAGAACTTTGTACGCTACAGGACACTTTACAAATCCACAGCAGAACAGGGTACCTGGGAAGCAGCCTCCTTATTCCTGGCTGTGTTCAAACAAGGACTAGAAAGTTGTCTGTCAAAGAGGCTGCAGAAAAGACCCCTCACACGTGGAGGCTGAACTGGATAGAGCTCTAAGGCATTTTCCAATGGGTATGTTCTATGGTACATAATTACAGGCATCAGCTGAGAGACACCAACTCTGCCAATGACGTGAGTGAGTGGTTCTTTTTCTCTGCACGCCCTTCTTCAGACCAAGAAGCACTGATACCTACATCCATTAGTATCTTTCACAGAGGGAACGCATTTTAGGATCAAAGCTCCGAAGATGACAATGTGAAAAAAATGAAGGTCCTTGAATTGCTACATAAAGTGGCAAATGAAAACATAATGAGGTAATATGACAACTGATTACCACCAACCTCATAGTTCATTAATGGTTGCTGAAGGTTTGTATGTTAACCGAAGGAGGAACATTAGGATGGCAGTCCTAGTGGGCAACCTGCTGCCTCTAGGCCTAAGAAACAGAAAAGAAAACTGGGGTGGAAGGAAAAGGACTTCTGTAGATCCATTTAGTAGATGAGGAATTCAAAGAGGTAAGTAAATTGTCCAAAGTCACACAGCTAATAAGTGACTGTGTGACTTTACATTCCATAGCCAATGATGACTATGAACTGTCTGAATTCCAAAGAAAATGTAGTTTTACATGTGTGTAAACATGTGAAGGAAACCTAATGACAGTATCATTTAAAATATGTACACATACAGGCCAAAAAAAAATCTCTAGGCATAGAATTATAAAATCAAAGATTTTCAAGCAAGTTGAGCAGATTACATAATCAAAATCATTCATTTTACAGATAATACAGGAACGCAGAGAGACTGAGTAATATCTTCAAGGATATGTCTAATTATTATATATACTTATAAATATAAAATAGATAAGCATTTTTCTTTTGTTGTTTTTCTTAAAAGATTTTATTGGAGAATTGGGGGAGGGGAACAGCGTTGAGAAATCGGGGAAGGGGAACAGACAAGTTGCTGTCCTTTTGTTCTTCAGTCTAGTTGTGGAGGACGTCGCTTCACTGGCCCATGTTGGTATTATCATTGCACTCTTCCCAAATGAGGCAGATCGGTCGCCAGTCACTGGACAGCCGCTCACAGTGGCTCTTGGCAGCTCATGCCGGCTGCTGCCATCCACTCATGGTAGCTTATGGCAGCCCACTGCAGCAGGGGCTACAGCCCTACGCCGTCGCCAGCGACTCATGGCAGCAAGCTCCAGGTCAAGCTGTTGTTCACCATTTTAGCGATAGAGGGCAGTGTCACTGGCCTTTGTGGGATCCGAACCAGGGCCCTGCTGCTCAGAGCTGGTGTCCCAAGCCAGCTCCTAACCAATGCGCCACTCAGCCGGCCCCAAAAAATAGATAAGCATTTTATAGAGAAATAATTTACAAATTAATTTTCTATTAATTTTTACTATTAATATTTTTGGTGAGTGCTAAGTGAATATGAATAATTATTTTTTAAAATTTCAGGTTATTACTTTTTGATACAGCAATCCAAGAGCTGAGCTGTAAGTTCAGTTTATTTTGATACTTGGTTATTAAAAAACAAAACTCACCAAGATATGTAGATCCAATACTTACTTTTCAATTCTATCCATTTATTCAAAAGTTTTTATTGAAAATCAGTAAGTTTCTACCTTTTCTACCGTTAATTAACTATTTTTGACAAGTAATTGGAAGGTACTGTACTTTCAAATTGGGCTGGCCAAGTGGCTCAGTTGGTTAAGAGGGCGAGCTCTGAGCAACAGGGTTGCTGGTTTGATTTCCACATGGGCTAGTGAGCTGCGCCCAAGCTGAGCTGCTGTTGAACTGCCAACAGGTAGCAGGATGGCTCAGCTGGTGAGAGCACGTGCTCCTAACAAGGTTGCAGGTTTGACTCCCACATGGGATGGTGGGCTATGCCCACCTGCAACTAAGATTGAATACGGCACCTTGAGCTGAGCTGCCCCGAGCTGCCAACGGGCGGCCGGATGGCTCAGTGGGTTAGAGCGTGCACTCTTAGCAACACAGTTTCCAGTTGGACTCCCGCATGGGATGGTGGGCTACACCCACCTGCAACTAAGATTGAACACGACACCCTTAAGCTGAGCAGCCACGGGCCTGGTGGCAATTGGACTTGGAGCTGAGTTAGTTGCGCCCTCCACAACTAAGATTAAAGGACAACAACTTGGCTGTTCCCCTTCCCCAGTTCCCCAATAAAATCTTAAAAAAAAAAAAAAAAAAAAGAAGTGTTTGAATCCCACTGAAGTGTTTCATTTTAAAGTCATAACTTTAAAATAAGTTAGAAAAATCTGTCTCCAAGTGTAGAGATATAAGAATTTTCATAGATGATATGTTTATATCTATTTCAAAAATAAAGTTATTAAAAATAATAAAAGAAAAAAAAAAGAAGGCACTGCCCCTAAGATGAAGATGGAAGATGGGGCCCACATCAGATTTAATGACAGGGATCCCTGTGGCAGGGCTCAAAGAGTTTACGATTTTTGAGTGGCAGAGAGGAGGGGAGAAAGAGAGGATCTAACGACTTACAGGGAAAACTCCATTTGGGGAAAAAATGACTTTCTTTCTCTTTCTTAAAAGAAAAATGAGAGGGAAGAGAAAGAAGGGAAAACACTGTAAATGCACAATAGATTGCTAAAATTTCTGAGTTTTACCATTTTTCTAATTGCTCAATACATTCCCACATAGACTATTTTCTTTACCATGCTTACCTGTTTCGCTGCAATTTCTTCGTCGCGTCCATCTCCAATCACTACATATGTGACTTTCTTTCCAAACCTTGACACAATTCTCTCGAAGCAGCTCTCTTTACCTGATGAGAAAAAGAAATGGGCTGCTGCTAGGTTCACCTGCCTGTGCTTAGACAAAGTAAGTGGCAGCCCCCATAGTTTACTTGGTGGGGAGTTGATGGCAGCTGGAGGTCCAGTAGGCCCCCCAGATCTATAAATGTGAAGCTAGGTGGCCCAGGCAGTGCAAGAACTGTGCACACCACCGCCCTTTCCCCATCTCCTGTACTTCACAGCTTACAAAGCAGTTTTCAAGTTATTTGTTATTTAATTCTCAAAATAATCTAGTGAGATGGGTACATTCCCCTATTTTAACAGATGAAAATGGGACCAAGGAATTAGTGACTTGTTCTATATCACAAACAAGCTTATAGCTAGTCTTTGGGCTGCTGACTCCAAATCTAGGCTCTGGACATTGTGACATGATGAAAGGATATTTCTGAGGGGAATCTGTTTCAGTGTAGGAAAAAGAAGTGGAGGCATAAAGCCCTGATTTCTTGTTAGTAATAAGTAATAGACAGCCATTTCACTCCAATTCTTCATTTTCCAGAAACAGTCCTAGGCATGGGTCCTTCAATGGGGGAGGAGCCCCAGAGCACCAATGAATATAGCAGCAACATTGCACATCTGGAATTTCCTCACTATTATATTTTGTAACTGCAACTGAGATACTGTAACATTGAAATTGACCTTGGAAAATGGGTGATTTTAATCCACTGCAGACAGTTTTTAGACACCTGGCAATATATCAAAATTCCAATCCCATCAGGAACTAACACCTAAAACATGCACAGATGATAATGCTGTGGGAAAGATACTTTATTTGCCTAAATAAATAAAAAGGAAATTATTTCCCTTGCTTTTCCTTCACCATATCTTATACTTTATTTCTCTACTCTGCCACCTTCTTCAGTTAAGCAAGGTCCTAACTCTGCTTCCTTCTTCATTCTGCTCCATTAACCTTCTCATCCTTTCTTCCTGCCAGATCCAGTGACATAACACCAAGGTTCCTGTGTGAATAAAAAGGTGCCTCTTCCTCAAGGCACTTTACTGCCATCTGCTGGAAAATTGTTGTAATAAGCATACAAACACAAATATAAGATGACCACGTCGCAATGGACAGGAACCTATATACCACTCAGAAGTCCTACTTGGTACATCTGAGTAACTGCAAGTCTCCGACATTCCTAGCCCAACTGGCACCTCAAACCAGGTTGACTAGACAGTCACCTGGACCACTGGTCCACTCTTGGCTTCAGTCTCCTACTGTTAGTACAAGGCTAGGCATAGGTACACTTACAGTACTAACATTTTACAATAGCACTGTCATGCCTTACATTCCTATCAGGCATTCAATCAATATGCATTTGCTGAGTAAATGCATATTAATCTCACAGCTGATTCAGTGGATGACTGTAGTATGTCTTGAGCCCCAATTTAAATATTAAATAATTTTACTAATAATGAATTCTTATTATGTTCAAAGTGTTGAAGAGTTCTTTGTCTAACTGCATTCCAACCATTACATCCTTACAACCTGAGCCAACCTCTGCTAGACTCACTGTCTAATTTACGATCGGTCTATAGAATAAAGCTTTTAAGTCAGGATTTTAGGCTTTTTCCCTAAGACCCAACAAAGGGAATATCTCATATTTAGAGGACAAGGACATAGAGATGTTTTAATTGTCCTGTCATACAACGATCAAGGATGAAATACTTGTACATTTAGTTATGTTTCCTCTAAAAAGATTAAGAGACTGAGGGAGTTATTAGTAGCTCAAAGTAAAGAAGTAGCTACATGAAAAAATGACTCCAATACAGTTGGTAAGTATATTTCTTTCATTTTATACCCTCTAAACAATCCTGTTCGGGAGGATGAAGCCAATGAGTGACTGGTCAGCTCAACAAATGTCAAGCAACTGAAGCTACAACTGCAAGACCAACCATGCCTTTGGAGAATACTAGGTTCCTGGGTTTCCCCTATCAAATACACGTCTGATATTTTCAGAAATGATTTTGAAAATTATCTTTAATGTCCAAGATCACAAAGTGGCCATTAAGAAAACTACAATTCTGAAGTTTTTTCAGAGGTGCCGAACAAGTATTTCCTCTCCTTGCTCCAATTTCCCAGTGCTGTGAAGGAAAGCCTTAAGCCTCTCACTGTGGTTACCATGGTGCCAGGTACCACTACAGCTTTGCAAATTAGCTTTGGATGAAATGAGACCAAGGAAAATCACCAAATGAGCACAATTACTGTCAGAGAGAATAAAATTGTTTCCATTAGTTTGATATGCCTTTGGGTGCCAGGACTCAGTATAACAAGCACTACACAAAATCTATTGGGATGTTGGAAAAGTCATGACATATTTTTTCTGTTTTTCGTTGCAAAAATGCGTCATGACTTTTCTGATAACCCCATATCTTTCAGGTGTGGTAGGCTCAGTGAATGCTCTGGGTTCTTATAAAATGCAAAGTATAGTGGTGGCAATAGCAGCAAAATCTGAAGGGGGGCAGTTTTCAGATATATCCCTATCCCCTCTATATCCCCTGTAAATGAAATAATTTCACCATTCAAAAAAGGAGAATAATAAAAATAAATGTCTGTATACCTACCACCAACCCGGCTCTGTCAAATCTTAACACTTTATAGTCACTTTAGATAAAAAAATATATAAGAATGAGATATTACGGATGTATATGAAGTTTCCTATGTACCTGTACTGAATGTCATTCTTCTCCCTCCTTTCTCTTTGTGAGTATATAGCCATAAAAAATTTATGGTATTGTTGTGAACATTTCTTACCTTTATATAAATGTTCATACTGTGCATATCTGTCTGCAATGTGTTTTTTGTGTTCAACACTGGTTTTCATATTAACCCTTATGGATATATGTAGTTTTAGTTCACTCACTTTTAACTGCTATATAGTATTCCCTTGTTTGACTATATCTATTTATCCAATTCTTTTCACTGACAGGTTCACAGATAGGCTATTTCCAATTATTTTCTATTATGAAAAAGACTGCATAAAAAATTCTTGTATCTCTCTCTTATACATGTCACATGATCTCTGTTGCAATTAGTCAACTCTGTTGCAATTATTCAAATTAGCTATGAAAATGATTTGGGCATGTTTACATTGGGCATGGTTACATGTAAAACTTTATAAAAACAGTCAGTGGGCAGAATTTGGAATGTGGGTTGTAGTCTGCACAAAAGTACACATATCTAAAAGTGGAATTGCTGGCCCGTCGAGTGGCTCTGTTGGTTAAGAGTTGGCTTAAGAGCAAGAGCTCTGAGCAACAGGTTGTCGGTTCGATTCCCACATAGGCCAGTGACGCTGCGCCCGAGCTGAGCTGTTGCTGAGCTGCCAACAGGTGGCAGGATGGCTCAACGGATGTAACAACAAGATTGTCTATTCAATGGTAGGCTACGCCCACCTGCAATTAAGACTGAACTCTGCACCTTGAGCTGAGATGGCTCAGTGGATAGAGCGTATGCTCTTAACAACAAGGCTGCCAGGTTCGACTCCCACATGGGATGGAAGCTATGCCCACCCACAACTAAGACTGAACACAGCAGCTCTAAGCTCTAAGACTGAGCTTAGAGACCACGAACTGCCGACGGGCAGCCAGATGGCGAATGGCGCCCTCCACAATGATTATTGAAGCTGGTTCTCTTCCCCAACACTGTTCCCCTCCCCTAACTCCCCAATAAAATCTAAAAAAAAACCTAAAAAGGCCAGATTTTAATAAATAAATAAATAAATGTGGAATTGCTTGATCATAGGGTTATACACATCTTAAACTTTACTAAACGTTGACAAACGTTCTCCAAAAATGGTTATATGGTTATATCCATTTTTAATCTCGTCTACAGAATAAGTGTTCTTTGACAAAGTTTGGCAATATCAGACTTAAATTTCTGTCGATCTGATAAATGGGAAATGTATCACATTTTAATTTGCATTTGAGGTTAAGGAACTTATCATGTTTACTGACAATTTGGGTTACTGTGAATAATGCTGTTTTTTTTTTTAACATAGCGTGCAAATATTTCTTTGAGATCCTGTTTTTAATTCTTTTGGGTATATACCCAGAAGTGGGATTGCTGGATCATATGGTAGTTCTATTTTTAATTTTTTGAAGAACTGTCAATACTGTTTTCCATAACAGTTGCATATTTTACAATCCCATCAAACGTGCACAAGGGTTCCAATTTCTCTACAACCTTACCAACACTTGTTATTTTCTGTTTTTTGATAGTAGCCATCCTAACGGGTGTGAGGCGTTTAACGTTTTTTAAATATACAGCTTAGTCCTTGATTTTTAACCTAGTGCTTTTTCTACTATACTTTACTACAGCGCTCTCTCTGTGAAAGAGAAATCTGAAATGAGGCAAAGTAGATTTCTAAACTAGATATTATGTTCTTTCAAATATTATAAAAAAAAGAGCATAAGTTTTAAGTCCAACAGACCTGGATTTGAATCCTGTTTATGTAACTTACTAGCTGTGAAGCCTGGAGAAAGCTAGCCTGAACTGCCTCATCAGTAATATCAAGAGAAGGCTGCTGTAAAGGAGAGAGAGTGTGAGTGTGAGTGTGAGTGAGTGTGTGTGTGTGTGTGTGTGTGTGTGTGTGTGTGGTGTCTAACAGAGGGAATGGTAAATAATAAGTGCGTCATAAATAGGAAATATTATTGTAAGGCCAGTGACAAGAAACAGAATAGAAACCATACCAATTTTGGTAGCACTATAGATGTTTTCAATAGGAAATATTTCTCCAAGCCCATATAGGAGAACCTTGGCCAGGGCTGGAACCAGCTGGGTTGTAGTGATCAGAACATTCACACAATTCTTTCTACAAGGGAGAAAGAAGGAAAAGAAAAAGGTGAAACCAAACCAACCCAGGAGCAAGAATTCAAATGGATCTTCTCTTTAAGATATAATTATGAAAAATAGCCTCAAACAGCCTGGTATGATATTTGTTCAGTGCCAATGCTCAGTTACTGCTCTAATTATCTCAGGTTTATTTACTTCCCAAATCAAAAGACAAGAGATTCTATAGGGGACACAGAGCAGCAATTTGATTCTTGCCTCATTTCCCTTTCGGCCATTCTAGCTCACTGCACTTGTTAGCAATTACCACCAACTCATGTCATTGACACCACTCTCTAGAAAACAAATGACAAAAGACTTTCAGTTACAGTGCTATTTCATCTGAATGCAACTCAGCCCTTACATGAGATATGATTTAAGTCCTCTCCGCTCTTCACACAATAGCAACATAGATTCTATAATACACATTAATTTCACATGTCTTTTATAAACTTCACCAAATATCCTTGGTGTCAGTTTTACTGTCTGCTCCATTAGGTTGTAGATCTAGAATTCCTATTTGAGGAAAGAAGCAATAAGGATATTGCTGCAAATATGACAGTATTTATTTCCCATTATAAGCCTCAAGCTGAAATCTCCTTAATGTACCCTTTTCTTTCTCTTTTTTTAATATATATTTTAAAAGATTTACTGTGCAACTAATCGTTGCAATCCTTAAGAGGAAATGGATGCTGCAACAGCTGCCCCTTTGGGTTTAGGTGTTGTTCCTTTACGGAATCCATGCCTGAATCTGCGGTATACAATTTTTAGGTACCTCATTTGACCAGTCGCGGTGGTATTTTGTCTTTTAGCCTTAGCACTCCAGTTATACTTTCTCTTCCGCTTGACAGGGTAGCCACATTTACCACAGGTAGACTCCTGAAGGTGGTACGCCTTAGAGCCACAGTGGACGCATAACGTGTGCATCTTACTACGACGCTTTCCAAATGATGATGTTCCCTTCGTCATTGAGCGTCTGTGGCCGAGATCAAAGAGCGTACCCCTTTCTTTTGAATCCTGCCTTCCCGAGTAGGTTTTGATACATATCCTGTATTTAGGATATTTGAGATATGTCTCCTATATGTATTCTTTGATGTCACCAGGCTCATCTCCTGGGCTGTAGATTATGGGTTACTGAGTTTTAATTTTGTGAACAAAAGGGAAAAGAAAAAGGCTTTCTTATATAAATATTCTCTTAAAACTCTAAGGTGTGCTGTTAGTGTAAAATGACTTCGCTTCCCACCTAACCTAAATATACTTCCTTGATTCATTTAAATTCCTCTTACCCCATCCCAAACCTTATTTTAGGGAATGGACTGGTATAGGAAAGAGTGTCTCTGAGAGGATGAGACCTATAAGAACCATTTCCATACCTGGACTGGATGAGAAGTAAGGACTTTAATGCAGTTCCTAACCAGGAATCTGTTAAAACTTCGATTTCTGCTCTTAGTCTCTGCAGTGCTTCCTTTCTCTGTGGGCTGAGGAGGCCTGTGAGAATAAAAGCAGACACATTTATCGTTTGACAACATATCGTTGCTGACACTGAGGAAGCAACTTCTAAATTCAATTCAGAAATAGTGTGAGTCACTAAAATATTCTATGGAGCTAATATCTTTCTCTTCTTGGTAAAACGCTAGAGCAGCCTACTCACAATGCCTTTTTTACTTCATCAGAATGTTTTGCTGGGGGCACAACCACCACAACAAAATAACTGATAAACACATTGTGATTAGATTCTGGTACAAGCTCTTTCATCACTCATCAGTAACATAATTTGCAGACTGGTGGACCATACCTAGAGTAGCACTGCTTTAGACATGACATCGAGAACCAAAGGTGGACAAAAATAAGTGTTTGAGCTGGAAGACCTGCAGCATTTCTAATCTCTTTCTAAAGAAACAAAGGCCCAAGGGAGTAAAGGGGTGCTGCCTAAGATTACACAACAAGCGGGTTTTGGTCTCAGAAGTCTTTCCACTACCATACATACACTGCTCCCATGGGACTTGCTTTCACTCCTTTTCAGGATACATCCACCCGAGACTCCAGGTTGAATGACCAACTCTCTGAATGTCATTTATTTGTATTGTACTTACTTCTGGAACAACTTAAGCTGATAAAAGTAAAACACTGTTTAAGATCAGATAATTAAGCATAAAACAAAACAGAATTCGCCTGATGGGAACATGTTATCAGACACTTGAGTTATAATATTCAAATAATAAATCTGGCCCTGAATTTTCTATAGTGAAGGTAAAAAGAGAAATTCTGTAGTCTATTACCAATGCTCCATAAAAACAAAGGATGTTTTTATAAAGACTAGAACTGTGTATGATTTGTTTTCAGATTAATGGTTTCACAATACAAGCCTAGAATTAGATGACTCTCAACGTTTCTGATAAAACAAAACAAATACCTATATGTCATGTATGATATATACATAAGCATACACACACACACCTTTTCTCTCTCTCTCTCTCTCTCTCTCTCTCTCTCTCTCTTTTCTTTTATCTACATTTAGTCATGACTTGAAGACCATGTACTTAACTGTAGGGAGATTGGAAAATGTAGCTTTTAGTTCAGGTGGCCATGTGACTAGATAAAAAGAGTTTTATCACTACAGAATATAGTGGATACAAATCATCAGTCTTTGCTAGTGTCTGCTCTTTAGACTACCTGATACCTCTATACACCTTTCTTCCTACATAAATAAATATTTGCTATTGTCTTTCTAAGAGAGACAATTCCAAAGCCTCAGCCATATTAAGGACTCAGAGTCTAGGATCTCAATGGTGTATAGTCTTCTCTACCAGGTCCAAATTTTGCTTCTCTTGATCCAGTAACCCATAAACTAAAGGATAAGTTTTTGCTTCCCCTTTTCTATAGTACAATAGTATGAGACCAGGGTAATGAAAGCAGAAACGCCATTTGGGAAAGGAGAGAAAGGGTGATGCCCAAATCCCAATATGCAGAAATAGGGAGTACAGTAAGCTTCTGGGTTAGCCTTTCCTCCTCCCACCCCTTATTGGAAGCCCTGGTTCTGCTTCTTTGGACAAAGTCCCTTGCCCATCATCCTCTGCAGCCTCTGTCACTGCTCTCTGGAGATTCTTCCTTGTCCATTATTTTCCATGGCCACAACTGAGTTAGGCATTGTACAGTATACTGTATCATACATAAGTATATATTATATACGTCATATACTTACCTAATAATATTATGTGGTACTTTTGTTAATTCTTATTTTACAAAATACAGATAGACATTACTTTTAATGTCCTACCTCAGGGTAGGTGCAGGGGATTCTCACAGAGAGTTATATTACTTTCTTCAGGAAACTAGGTCCAGGTACTCACTGGGCAGAAAAGAATAACTTAGGATGTATATGAAAACTAACAAAATAAAGGCTAATATATCTGTGAGATAGGGAAAGCAAAAAGACTTGGAGCTGTCAAAATAATAAGTATTGGCTCTGAATCATGAGAAAAAAAAAAGCAATAAAAGGGAAATCTGAAAAAAGTAAATTAGATTCCCAAAGCCCAGGTGCCTGTGATTTTTACCTGGTGTTGGAGGGCTGTAACAGGAATGAACCAAACTGACCTTCAAAGCCCTATGTTTACTTTCTGTACCACACTGTAAAGGCAGCACGGTATGGAGGAGGGTTCTCTGGACCTGGAGTAGTATACCTCTAGGCAGTCTATGGAATCCCTGAAACTTCATGCAATCTTTTGTGTGTATATAGAAGCTTGAAGGTGATGGTTCACAGTTTTAAATATTTTCTCAAGGGTATATCACTAAAAACAGAACTCCATGAATGGAAAGTGCACTGGGCCGAGTGTTGGGGGATGTGGATTCCAGCTGTGGCACGGTCACTAACTTGCTATGGCTGCTGCCCTCATTACCCTCATGGCAGACATAAATTTTCTTGAATGCAAAATAAGGGATTTAGGTTAACTCTAATGTCTCTTCTAATTTGAATAATCTATGACTAATTAATTAACTCCAAATAATAGAATTTTAGGCCTAGTGGCACCTGACATTTAAGCTATTTTTGGGCAGAAAGCATTTCCAAGGTCCTTCAAATCACATGGAAAACTATAAACCATCCACTATAAACCTAGTCACTAGTTCTACCTGACTTGTCCTGATGGTTATAAATCAGTTAAAAAAAAAAACAGGCCGGCCGAGTGGCTCAGTTGGTTAAGAGCTCGCTCAAGAGTTTGAGCTCTGAGCAACAGCGGTTCGANCTTTGTTAAGTATATGTATTAAAACAGTGAGGCTAACCATTAAAAGAACCAACACAGAGCATATAACTTCAAAACGGAGAAAAATACAAATGCCAGTGAATCCAAAGAAGATAAGAGACTCAAGAGTTTGAGCTCTGAGCAACAGCGGTTCGATGCCCGGCCCGAGCTGAGCAGCCGCTGAGCTGCCAACAGGTAGCAGGATGGCTCAGCTAAAAAAAAACCAAACAAACAAAAAAAACAAACATACATATATATATGCCTATTGATAGCATTGACAGTAGTTAGGACCCCAGAATAAAATGCATGTCATCAAACATAATCTATAGAACACATTTCCTTTAAAAAGGCATTTGTCTAAAGAGAACAAGAGAACTTTGAAAAGTTATGCTAAGAGAAGTCCATGCGAAATGCAGAGCTTCCTCCCCAAAGGGTTTTATACAAGTTAAAATGTTACTGTGGCACAAATTCATAAGGAGTTGCCAGGAGGTTCTAAGGAATCCCTGGAAAAGAAATCAAGATATCAGAAGGAAACAGAAAATTAGACTGGCTGTAGGCCACACTTACCACCCACGTTGCTTTTATGCTTATCATAGATTTCTCTCACTTTCCGGTAGCGGAAAGCCAGTTTCCTCATCCAGTCCACACCTCCCTGGACACCCACAGAGGAACCATGGCTGCCACTGCCTCCTGAGCCACTGAAACCATCTGTTGAGAAACTGTAGTTGCTGCAGAGAGAGGATAATGAAAATTAAAGTCTATACTGCAAGGAGGTTTTGGATGAATGTCATCTGGGATTCTCTGTCCTATTTCTGGCATCTGACAATAAAGCTGATGGCTTCGATAATCTTTTCCCTTAATCTTTGTATGTCAGTCTTTCACCAGTCCTCTATCTCACCCCATTACTTCTATAAAAGAAAGGATGGAGAGGAGGGAAAGAGAGGTAGGTACAATTCAAGCACCAGCATCCCCTAGAGGTTGGCTTGGGATAGAGCATCGTTTCATTAATGACAGAATATCTTACAGTGAAATAAAAACAGAATATAACTTTTTTTGTATACAAACACACATACATACACAATGATTGCAACTACATAAAAAAAATGAAAGGAAATAACCCAAAATACTAATAATAGTAAGGTAATGGACATGTTTTCCTTCAGTGATTTGTTGGCTAGTTTATTAAGTTTATGGGTCACTGTGGTGGCTTTAAAATATGTCCACAAATTCTTTAATACTCCTCTCTTCTAATTCTGCTCCCTGTGGGTATGGACTGTATTTGAAAGTGCAGAATGTGGTGGAAGTGATGGTGTGAGACCTCAGAGACTAGGCTTCTCTCGTTCTTTTTCGGAGCACTTGCTCTTAAAGAAGCCGGCTGCCACATAACACTCAAGCTATCCCACGCAGAAGCACGCATAGTGAGAACTGAGGCCTCCTGTTATCAGCCACTTGTGAGAGATGGGAAGCAGGTCCTCCAGCTCCAATCATGCCCTCAGATGATTTTAGCTTCAGCCAATATCATGATTTCAATTTCAAGAGACCCTGATTCAGAACTACCTAGCTACTCTTTCAAGTTTCTGACTCCCAGAAACTTTAAGATGATAAATGTTTATTGCTTTAAGCTACTAAGTTTTGGGGTAATTTGTTATACAACAATAGATAACTAATATAGGTATACCTCAGAGATACTGTGGTTTCAGTTCCAGACCACCGCAATAAAGCAAACATCGCAATAAAATGAGTTGTAATCAATGTGTAAAAACATCTACAGAGCACAGTGAATAGAATGAGGTATGCCTGTATAGTTACTTTCCTAAGTAAAGATTTTAAAATGACTGACAGAACTAGAGACAACTAGGTTCAACCAAAAGTCAAAATAGAGGGGCGGCCAGTTAGCTCAGTTGGTTAGAGAGAGTGCAGTGCTCATAACACTAAGGTTGCCGGTTTGATCCCCGCATGGGCCACTGAGCTGCGCCCTCCACAACTAGATTGAAACAACTACTTGACTTGGAGCTAATGGGGCCTGGAGAAACACACTGTTCCCCAATTACAAAAATAAATAAATAAATAAATAAATGTCAAAATAGAGGTCAATAAGTGTGAAATTCTATATTTAAGAAAATAAAGATGCCAAGACATTAGATAGATAAAATTACTGGTTAGCCACACATGTAAGAGAGAGAAAAAAACTAACAACAAAAAAACTAGGGTTCACAGTGGATCATAAACTGCTTTAGACCAGGACTTTTCCTTTAAAAACCAGGCTGTTTCCTTAAAACACCAGGAAACACTCGTAAAAATGAAAGGTGCTTTTTGTAGCTGTGCAGGACTGGACCCTGCGCCTGAAGCAAAGCCTTTCAACCCTTCCCAGCACTACAGGATTAGGTCCTTACTAAGTGATATGTCCAGTTCTGCTCTAGATTTGAGAGTTCATGGATGAACCAATTGTAGGGTAGACACAGGGAAGAACCTTTTGCCTATGAAAAGGGATAAACATTAAAACAAATTAACATGAAAAGATGTTGACAGTCTTTTTTTCTAAAAGGCTTTAAATGTAAGCTAGATCAATGTTTGGATTGTTCTTAGCTAAGACTACTGGGTCGGAAGACAGTAGCCAAGAGAGAAATGAGGAGACCGAGCAAGCATGTTGCCACTGAGACCTCCTCGGTTTAGCACTCACTGTGATATAATGTTTAAGACTGTCTTCCATAGGGTTATTCCTGACACCATCAGATCCCCACGATTAATTTCCTTGGTGAAATTCTGGATGCTTATTCATATCTAAAATTAACCAGTCTGGAAACACACTCCTCCTGACTGAAAATCTAGCCAGAGAGAAACTAGTATATTCCTTACTTTGGAATGCCTTCTTATCCTATCATCGCTTCCACCCAGTCTTCAAGGTCATACTCAAATTCTATTGCACTGAGAAGGCCGCTCCAATATTGGCAACCATCTGCTCCCCACATCCACAGAATTGCTTTCTTTCCTGTGCTTTGTCACATTTTCTATTGTCACCTTCGTCATACCGCATGCCATTGTTAACTATGTTTCTAGCTCCTCTAATAGACTGTAAGATCTTTTAAGGCTGTCTTATTCATCTTAGTTTTCCTCTAACCTAGACAGTGTCTTGTGCATAACGAGTGCACGGATGTTTAAGACATCATTGTTTTTATCACCTCAAGTCTTGGCCATTGTCATCAGAAGCCACATCTTCCACATGCACCTGGTCACACTCCTGTTAAAAGACAAAACCACACGCTATTTAATCCAGTGAATAAAAGTGTTATCACCACGATATGTTGTAAAAATACCACAAACAGTGGGATGATGAAAAACCTTATTGGTCTGTCTGTCTCTCTCATGTGTGGAGGGTCGCTCTCACCCTCTTTGCTGTTCAACTTCTTTTAAGACCTAATTCACGTCCCACGGTCTTCATGAAATTTTCCTTATTATCCCAACCCTCAGTTATGCTCTTATCTCAACAGTTCACTTTTCTAACAGCTCATGGGTGTAAGCACAGGCTCCCTTACACTGTCGGGTGTGTCTATGTTCTACATTAGACTGAAAGTTCCATTTACCTGTAGGCTTCTTATGGCATGAGCCATATCTACATCTCCTTTGTACCCCTCTAGTCTAGTCCAGTGACCTTATGCAGCATGTACCAATAAATTTTGCAGATGGAACAGATGCTAGTAGAGTGTGGTATCAAAACTGAGAATGGCTGGAAACAAATTTATAAATTCAAACTTGGTACTCAGAAGAGGTCATCTAAGTCAATCTCCTCATGTTCTAAAAGTGAGATGAAAAATTTACCCAAGGTCATACAACTAGTGAGTGGTAGAAAGAAACTAGAAAGAGCCTGGGTCTTCTAATTCAAATCCAAGGTGCTTTTCACCAAGCTCATGCTGCTACTTGATAAAAAATGCCACCCATTGCGTAACTAACAGATTCACTCCTCTGACACCACCTAGGGCAGCGTTGTAATGTCCACCTGCATCAGAATCCTCTGGGGAAGTTTTTTAAAAATGCATATTCTTGGGTCCACCCCAGACCTACTTAGAATCAGAATTTCTGGGAATGAAGTCCTAGAATCTTCATTTTTAACAAGGTCCCCAGGTGATTCTTATGCCCCCTAAAGTTGAGAACCACTGACCTGGGGGGCAGGAACACATTCAGGTCAAATTCTTCACAGAACTTTCAGTCCTGAGTGAGGACTATGTCTAGAAAATCATTACAAATACAATTTGGCAATAATTATTGGCACATAGTAGGTTTTCAATAAATGTTTGCTGAATAAAAACTTTGATGTCCTAACTTATCAACATGTGAAGTTGAGGAAAAAAATAAAGCACTGTGGAGCTTAGATAAAAGTATTGGAGTTTAGAGCCCTATTAATTTAAATTGTTGGAGAATGGTCTGTTGAGTAGAACTAGATTGTATTTAAAAAGGAGTAGGATTACTTTATGTTGTAAAATGCTATCTTATTTTACTTTAAAATTTTCATTATTTCAAAAACTAGGTAAGATATGTGGTACACGGTTCAACATACAAAAGGACATGAAGTGACAAACCTGGTCCTTCCCACCTGTGTTCCAGCAACGCATTTCCCTCCCCAGAAACAGTTACTAGTTTCTTATGTAGGATAACTGCTTAGCTGAGGCCCAGAATGGGGAGATAACGTTCTTAACTTGGGACTCATACTCTAGTCTTCTGACTCTCAGTTCTGTGTTCTCTCCACTACACCATATTCACCTCACAGGTGAACTCAAATGTCAAAGCCAAAAAAAATCACCAAGAAGCTCTCAGTATTTCCTGGTTTTCTTTGTACCTAAGTATAAAATGATTCTGGATGTCAAGGCTAACCTATATATGGAAAGCAAGCAATATAAAATACAATGAATTAAAGCAGCCATTTATAGATCTGACAAATCAAGAGATTATCTTTTGAGAAGCTAAAATTGAACAGTCAAGTGTAATTAAGAGTACAAATAATCAAACCCACCTTATCTATACATTTTAAATATATATGAATAAACTGGAATGTTGGTTTAGGCATCAGTGTTTTGCCTAATGGGTTGCTATTTCCCCCAGACCTAGATCACTTCCACAACAAAAATCAAATTTTTGAGACAATAAAATTGAGGGCCAGAACCAAGGCTGTGGTAATCTAACCAAGGCACTATTCCTGCAAGACTATGCAGGTCTAAGTGGCCAGCTGGCCTCTTCATACCCACTCAGTCTAACCACATTGCCTCTAAATACAATAAGCACAAGCTCGATAAATAGTTATTGAACAAAATGTTTCACTGAAGCACAGAAACAATTTAAAATGCTTACCTCTAAGTCATTGAAAAATAGATGTGTATCAGCCACTTCAAAAATCATTTCTTCCATAGTCAAACCTGAGCCAATCACTACTGTTGGGTCCTAAAGACAGTAAGAGAAAAATCTGCTTGACTTACTACTCAAGAGCACTGGTTCTGATCAAAATTATTTTGGGTCAAGGCCAAGACAACACAGACCTACAACAGTGCTTCTAACTATTACTGATGCAATTTCATTCACAGCTATAAGAATATGGGATTGTGGAGCAGGCCGAATGGCCCGTTGGTCAAGGGTTGGTTTGGGATGCCAGCTCTGAGCAGCAGGGCCCTGGTTCGGATCCCACATTAGGGCCAGTGACACTGTGCCCTCTACAGCTAAGATGGTGAACAACAAGCTCAACCTGGAGCTGGGCTGCCATGAGTCGCCGGCGATGACGTAGGCTGCAGTGGGTTCCCGTAAGCTACCATGAGCGGCTGGCAGCCGGTGTGAGATGCCAAGAGCTGCCGTGAGCGGCTGTCCAGCGGCCTGCGACCGATCTGCCTCACCCAGGAAGAGCACAATGATAATACCAACATGGACCAATGAAGCAACGTCCTCCACAACTAGACCAAAGAACAAAAGGACAGCAACTTGTCTGTTCCCCTCCCCCAATTCCCCAATAAAATCTTGGGAAAAAAAAAAAAAGAATGTGGGATTTTGAAAAGTTAAAAATTTCAGGACTTGCTGGGCCGGCCGAGTGGCTCAGTTGGTTAAGAGCTCGCTGAAGAGTTTGAGCTCTGGGCAACAGCAGTTCAATGCCCGGCCCGAGCTGAGCAGCCCCTGAGCTGCCAACAGGTGGCAGGATGGCTCAGCTTAAACTTAGAAAACCCACTTATTTTTTTGGGAAATACCCTATTTCAGGAGTTTTTATTGCTAAAAGATTGCAAATATAACACTCATTATCTTTTCTGCACACATGTACACACACACACACACACACACACACACACACACACACACACACACACCACCAGAAGTCAGTTATCCGACAATCTTAACAACCAGGAAATAAGTAAACAAAAGCTGAAGAGCCAAAATGTCTGCAGGAAAAACAATGCACTTAGTTTTTTTATTTTTTCAACACACTTAGCTTTAAAATGAATAAGGAGGTCTTCATTTAGAGGTTGTATGCTCTTATTTTATATATTTTATAAACAGCCTAGCTATATAGCGTATGAACTTGCTGGTCTACATACTAAAAGCCTGTGGAAAATACTTCTAACAGAAACATTACTATTAACAAACAACTGGTAGTAAGAGAGCAAAGGAGTCAATATTTTCATAAAATTTATTAATAGAAGCTGAAAAATAAGAACCTGGAGGTAATTTAGTATAGAAATATACAGGCAATAGCTCAAAAACAGCTCATCCTACGATTAAAACTGATGTTTATATTGATCACTAAACAAGCTAACTTCTGCTTGGTATATTTAGTTTTAGAAGGTTTGTAATCTGTTTTAGAAAGATATTTTATATTTTATCTATATTTTTAATGTACATATGTGGCATATGATCAACTAGATGAAATGCTCATTTTGCTGTTAAAAGTGACTTAAGGGATAATAGATCAGTCTTTGGAATATATAATCTTGAGACTCCAGTGTTTTGAGCATCGTCATTTCCATACTTTTGTTTATACAAAACAACACTCTCAAACAACTTCTAGCACGCATACTAGGTCTAGTCTCTAGCTTTATCCCTGATCATGTGGCCTGCCTGGTATAAGCCATCAGGTGAAGTTTAACATGGAAAGTGAAAGGTCAACAGGGTAAGACAGAGGTAGCAGAAAAAGTGATCTGGGGTACCTGCCCATATAGCAGGAGAGGGACAGTTATAACAAAGGAAGACTCAAATTACCTTTCCATACTTCTGGGCATAGGATCCAGTAAGAAGGGAGTGGAAGATGATGATAGTTTCATCCAAGTCCCACAGAAATACCCGCTGAAGGAAGAAAATATAAAAAGTAATGAGTGAACATCTTTTCCAATTTATAATGAAAGGAAACAAGAAACCAGTAACAGAAGGAAAACTGGAAAAATTCACAAACGTGAAAATTAAGCAACACAATCTTAAAAAAACAAAGATCAAAGAAGAAATCACAAATTAAATTAAAAAAATACCTTCAGATGAATGAAAATAAAAACACAACAAAACAAAATTTACGGCATGCAGCAAAAGCTAGGTGTTAAGAGGAAAATTTATAGCTATAAATGCATACCTTAAAAAAAAAGTAAGATCTCAATCAATAATCTAACTATACAATTAAAGAAACTAGAAAAAGTCAGCAGGAAGGAAATAGTAAAAGTTGGAATGGTGATAAAACAGAGAGTAGGAAAATAACAGAAAAATCAATGAAAGTAAAAGTTGGTTCTTTGAAAAGATCTATCAAATTGACAATTTTTAGCTAGACTAAGAAAAAAGAAAGACGATTCAAATTATTAAAATCAGAAATAAACATTATTACTAATTTTACAGAAATAAAAATGATTATAAGAGAATACTATGCACAGTTGTGAACCAACAAATAACCTAGATGAAATGGACAAAGTCCTAGAAATACACAAAGTGCCAAAACTGACTCAAGAAGAAATAGAAATTCTGAATAGACCTTTAACTGGTAAGGTGGTTGGACTGGTAATCAAAAACATCCCAGGGCCGGGCGAATGGCGCAATGGTTAAGAACTGGCTTGGGACACCAGAGGGCCCCGGTTCGGATCCCACATGTGAGGGCCAGTGACACTGCCCTCCACAGCTAAGATGCTGAACAACAGCTCAACCTGGAGCTGGGCTGCCCTGAGTTGCAGGCGACGGCGTAGGCTGCAGCCCCTGTGGCACACTGCCACAGGGGTTGCCATGGGCTACCGTGTGTAGCCAGCAGCCAGCGTGAGCGGCCAGCAGCTGCAGTGAGCAGCCGTCCAGAAGCCGGCAACTGATCTGCCTCGCCCGGGAAGAGCACAATGATGGTGCCAATTGGGCCAGTGAAGCAACGTCCTCCACAGCTAGACTGAAGAACTAAAGGACAGCAACTTGTCTGTTCTCCTTTCCCCAATTCCCCACCACTGTTCCCATCCCCCCAACTCCCCAATTAAAAAACAAAACAAAACAAAATCCCCAAAAGAAAAGCCCACGACCAGATGGCTTCACTGGTAAATTCTCCCAAACATTTAAAGAAGAATTAACCAATCCTTCCTAACCTCTTCAGAAAGTTGAAGAGGAGGGAACACCTCCTAACTCACAATATGAAGCCAGCACTACCCTGATACCAAAGTCAGATAAAGACTCTATAAGAAAACTGCAGACCAACATACTTATGAACAGTGATGCAAAAATCCTCAACAAAATACTAGCAAACAAAATTCAGCAGCACATTAAAAGAATTATACAACACGACCAAATGAGATTTGTTTCCAGAATGCAAGGATGGATCAACATACAAAAATAAATCAATGTAATAAAGTACATTAATAGAATAGAGGAAAAAACCCCACATCGTCATCTCAATTGATGCAGAAAAACCATCTGACAAAATTCAACACACTTTCATGACAAAAACACTCAATAAACTAGAAATAGAAAGAACTTCCTCAACATAATAAGGGCCACATATGGAAAACCCACAGCTTTACCCCTGAGATCAGGAATAAGATGCCTGTTTTCACCACTTCTATTCAACACAGTACTGGAAATTCTAGCCAGAATAATCTGGCAAGGAAAGGAAAAAAAGGTACCCAAATTGGAAAGAAAGAAGTGAAATTATCTCTGCTTGCAGATGATATAATCTTATACATAAAAATACTAAAGAATCCACAAAAAATTGTGAGAGCTAATAAATGAACTCAGAAATCAGTTGTATTTCTATACACTTGCAATAAATAATCCTAATAGGAATCTGAAAAACACTTCTACTTACAATAGCATCAAATGTAATAAAATACTTAGTGATAAATCTAACTGAGGAGGTGAAAGACTTGTACACTGAAAACTGTAAAACATTGCTGAAGGAAATGAAAGAAGACCGACCTAAACAAATGGAAAAACATCCCATGTTCATAGGGGGAAGACTTAACATTAAGATGACAATATTACCCAAAGGAATCTACAAAATCTATGCAACCCCTATCAAAATCCCAACAGTGTTTTTTAAAGAAATAGCAAAATGCATCCTAAAATTCATATGGAATCTCAAGGGTTCCCAAATAGCCAAAATAATCTCGAATAAGAACAAACTTGGAAGACTCACACTTTCTGATTTTAAAAATTACTATAAAGCTACAGTAATTGAAACAATGTAGTACTAGCATAAGGATAGACACATAAACCAATGACATAGAAGAGAGAGCCCAGAAATTAACCCTGACATATCCGGTCAATCAATTTTTTTGACAAGGATACCAAGACCATTATCTGGGGAAAGGGAATTCTTTCCAATAAAAGGTGTTGGGAAAATTAGATATCCATGTGCAAAAGAATAAAATTAGAGCCTTATTTTATACTATAAAAATTTTTACAGTATATAAAAATTAACTCAGTATGATCAAAGACCTAAATTTAAGAGCTCAAACAATAAAACTCTTAAGAGAAAATATAGGTGAATATATTAATAACCTTGTATTCTTAGGTATAACAAACCAGTAGCAATAAAAGAAAAATAGAACTTCATCAAAATTTTACTTTTGTGCATCAAAGGATACCATCAAGACAGTGAAAAGACAACCCACAGAATGGGAGAAAATATTTGCATATCATATTTCTGCTTAAAGATTAATATCTAGAATATATAAAGAATTCCTAAAACTCAACAATAAAAAAATCTAATTAAAAAATTGGGAAGAAATTTGAACAGAACTTACTCCAAAGAAAATATACAAAAAGCTAATAAACACATGAAAAGATGTTCAATATTAGTAATCATTAAGGAAATGCAAATCAAAACTGCAATGAGATACCACTTCACATTCATTAGGATGACTATTATAAAAAATATGAGAAATAAGTGTTGATGAGGATGTGGAGAAATTGAAACCCTCATGCATTACTGGTGGGCATCTAAAATGGTGTAGCCACTATGGAAACATTTTGGTGGTTCCTCAAAAAGTTTAACGTAGTATTATCATATGATCCAGCAAATCTACTCCTACGTTTACACCCAAAATAAGTGAATAGAGGATTCAAAGAGATACCTGTTAACCAATGTTCATAGCAGCATTATTCACAATATCTCAAAGGTGAAAAAACCCCAAGTGTCCATCAACAGATGAAAGGAAAAACAAAATGCGGTGTATTACATAAAATGGAATATTACTCAGCCATAAAAAGGAATGAAGTTCTGATGCATGCTATAAATGATGAACTCTGAAAACATTATGCTAAGTGATAAAAGCTTGACACAAAAGGATATTATGAGTCCATTTTTATGAGATATCTAGAGTAGGCAAATTCAAAGAGACAGGAAGTAGAACAGAGGTTACTAAGGGCTAGTGGGAGGACAGAATGGGGAATTATTGTTTAATGAGTATAGAGTTTTTGTTTAGGATCATGAAAAAGTTCTGGAAGTAGATAGTGGTAACAATTAAACAACACTGTGAATATAATTCATGCCACTGAATTACATAAAGATGGTAAAAATTATGTTACCACAATTTAAAAAAATTAGTGAGGTCTCAGTTTTTCCCATGAAATATATCAGAACTTTATATTTCTCTTTCCTTCCCCTCCCCCCCTTTCCTTTCTCTCTTTCCCCAAGAAAAAAGGGGAAGAGAGGCTCCAAATCCAAATACAGTCTCAAATTACCTATGTCTTAAGAACACCTATCAGGGCCGGCCAAGTGGCGCGATGGTTAAGAACTCGCTTGGGATGCCAGAGGGCCCCGGTTCGGATCCCACATATGAGGGCCAGTGACACTGCCCTCCACAGCTAAGATGCTGAACAACAGCTCAACCTGGAGCTGGGCTGCCGTGAGTCGCCGGCGACGGCGTAGGCTGCAGCCCCTGTGGCAGTGGGTTGCCATGGGCTACCGTGTGTAGCCAGCAGCCAGTGTGAGCGGCCAGCAGCCGCAGTGAGCGGCCGTCCAGAAGCCGGCGACTGATCTGCCTCACCCGGGAAGAGCGCAATGATGGTGCCAACTTGGGCCAGTGAAGCAACGTCCTCCACAACTAGACTGAAGAACAAAAACGACAGCAACTTGTCTGTTCCCATCCCCCCAATTCCCCAATAAAAATCTTAAAAAAAAAAAAAACACCTATCAGTGACCTCATTTTTAAATACAGCTTTTCCCGCTTATTAAATGATTATATTATAGAAAAAATGAAAAAAATAAAACAAAAGGACTAATATCAAAACTTCATTATTAGTAGTATTTTGTATGACTTTCTAAGTCTTTTTAATAATGAAGCCAGATGTATGACCACAGTAAATTCCTAAAATGCTTAACCACAGAATAAGTGAATGGAAATCTCAATAAGTTATCAGATCTGGTTGCATGTTTCACAGAAATTTGGTCTAAAGCACTCTAGTCCTCTCATTTTGCTTTGAGATTTTTAAATGGAGAACAGTATGACATTACTTGTGACACCCTCTGCTTTCTAAATATGATACATTGTTCTTTCTATTCTCCTCTGGAATACAGAGAACAGTTCTTTCCCTTAAAAGTTTTTTAGAAAAGCTTTTTTGATGCTTTTGGTAAAAGCATCTGAAGTGATATGGTAAATTATGTGCATAGAGAAATGTGTTTTTGCATTTCTCTTTTCACTTGGCCAATTCAGTTTCTATTGCTCAGGAATTAAAGGGGACACAACATAGAACCATAAACACATGAAAAGATGTTCAACGTCAGTCATTAAGGAATCGCAAATCAAATGCAAATCATAGAACCATATTATCCCATAAGTTTCAGATATAAGTTTGATAAACTTAAGAAATGAGAAAAAAAAAAGTAGGTAACTCAAATGAGTTTCTTCCCATACTTCTAATTCACTGTCCTGGGAAGAGCTGGCATCAGCTTTCCTCTTGCCCCGGTTCTTGCCAGTCATGTTTTTCCTGGACTGGTCATCAGCATCTTTATTTGGTGTAGTCTGGGACAAAGATGGGCTTGTAGAAGGGTCTCCTGGAAGGCAAAAGCAAGACACTTATTGCCAGTAATCACAGGCTGTATGAACCAGAGCAGGAAGATCAGCAGGCTCTCTGCCCTTAAGAATCATATTGCAGGGACAAAGAATGAAAAACCAAACTTTATCTAAGCAACTTGGGAATGTAGACCTAGGCACTGAGCATTAACAGGTCTTAACATCACGAAGGAAGTTATAACTAGAATTTGTACACCTGCCTCCCCATGAAAGAACACATCTACGAAGTTGTTTTGTTAAAACAAACAAACAAACAAAAATTGAACCTGAATCTGATCAAGTTTCTAGATCAAAGTTTCTCAACTTGGCACAACTGACATTTTGGGCCTGATAAATTTTATTATGTGGGGCTATCCTGTACATTGTAGGATATTGGTTAAGCAACATCCTTGGCCTCTACCCACTAGATGCCAGTAGCAACCCCACCCAGTGTCACAACCAAAAATGTTTCCATACATTGCCAAATATCTGAGGGCTGGGGGTGGGGGTTGAGAGGCAGGGAGGGGGTGGAGGTGTGTGTGGTGTGCACACAGTACAAAATAGCCTCTAGCTGAAAAAGACTGCTCTAGGTCCATTTGCCAATTTACAATAACATACAGAAGACAGCAGAACATATTACACTACCCTATAAGGATATAATCAGCAAAATTCAGACTAGGAAATGGTACGGAATTAAAAAGTTTCTTCAACAAGGGGGAATTAAAAAAAAAGATGGGGCAATTTATAGGTTAAAAGAGACACAAAGTACATATCTACCAATCACAATATATGGAGCTTACATGGATCCTAATTTAAACAAACTGTTAAAAAAATCTTAAAGGGCCGGCCGAGTGGCGCGATGGTTAAGAACTGGCTTGGGACGCCAGAGGGCCCCGGTTCGGATCCCACATATGAGGGCCAGTGACACTGCCCTCCACAGCTAAGATGCTGAACAACAGCTCAACCTGGAGCTGGGCTGCCGTGAGTCGGGGCGACGGCATGAGCTGCAGCCCCTGTGGCAGTGGGTTGCCATGGGCTACCGTGTGTAGCCAGCAGCCAGCGTGAGCGGCTGCTGCAGTTGAGAGGCCATCCAGAAGCCGGCAACTGATCTGCCTCGCCCGGGAAGAGCGCAATGATGGTGCCAACTTGGGCCAGTGAAGCAACGTCCTCCACAACTAGACTGAAGAACAAAACGACAGCAACTTGTCTGTTCCCCTTCCCCCAATTCCCCAGCACTGTTCCCATCCCCCCAATTCCCCAATAAAAATTAAAAAAAAAAAATTAAAAACCTCCTAATATTTATGAGAAAATTGGAAATATGAATACCCTTGGCATTTTATGATATTAAAGTATTGTTGAATTATTTTAGATGGGTTAATGGCATTGTAGTTATGTTAATGGGTATTTATCTTTTAGAGATAAGATGCCTAGAATTTGGGAAGGGAATTGGATGAGGTATAGCTGAAACAAGATTGCCTATGAGTTGTGTTAACTGTTGAAGATGGATGATGGAATAATAAGGGTTCATTACACTATTCTGACTTCTGTCTATGTTTGAAATTCTCCATTATTAAGAAGTTTAAATTGTTATGAAGAACAAAGATATTTAGAAAAATGAATTCAAAACTAAGGCACTGACTGGCACAAGTAATTATTTCAAAGTTATGTAAGTTTGAAGCAGCGACCATCTGTATGTCCATTTACTTAGAAGACAGGTAAAGACAAGATGCACAGAAAACCGCTTTAGTTGATGTAAAGCACTGTTTTTAAAATGCATCAGTACTAGTAACAATAAACAGTCCTTCCTCAAGTTACATGATATGACAGCAAACCACCAAATTTTCATAAAAAATAGAAATAAGTAAAAAGTATGTGCATATGTTCATGAATGTGTGTATAAAACCTTTATGTCAGGGTTTTGTATTTTTAACCTAGACATCATAATTCATCAATACATTTCAAAGCTAAATGTACAGACTTAAATTTGTAGGTTAAATTTTATGTATTTCTTTTCAGGAAAAGGACTATAGTTTTCCTCAGATTCTTAAAGGGATCCATGACACAGGAAAAGTTAAGAACTACTACTCTGAGGCTAAGTCCAAAATATGCACAGACTAACACCGAGTCCTCCAACTTTTATAAACTATGCCATGATTCTGAAGTTCCCTGTGATAATCATGTTACAGCTATAGGGAGGGAAGAGTGGAAGTCATAAATAGTCTTTTCACTCTTGGTACTATTCTGTTCACAGCATCAGATATTACATTCAGCCTGCCAATGACTCATCGTAGTCCGGTTCCAATGTTTCAATTCTCCCGAGAGGGAAAACTAATTGCACAGTAACAGTGACTTAGACCAGAACAAAATAATCTTCACCATCACCTGTTGGATGAAGTGCCCTCAAGTCAAAGTTTTTAGAGCTATGATGCTTACCAGAGGAAAGTCTCTGTGCTGCAGGTGTAGGTACCATGACACTAGGCTTCTCTGTTTGGTATGTGGTTGCTGCTAACGTGGTACTCTCAGCATCACTGTTAGTTTGGCCTGTGACTCCAAAGCTGGAGCTGGGGTAGCAGGCCTGGTACTGACTCTGACCAAGGATAGTATAGGTGGGATAGTCCTGTGGGCCAAAGGGAGTAAGGGAGGAAAACAAGACTCTTAGAAAAAGCACAACATTCATTTCAACACGAGACTTTCATGTCTCTCTTATTCATAATTATTTTCCTAAAACATTAATTTGACTTCTCATTTACTTATCTATATCTTCCACCTAAACCAATACTTTTCAAAATATATCCTATAGGAAACCTAAGAGTCAAGAGGACATGCCTCAGGGGCTGTCTTTGGAATGAGGGGAAGGCTGAGAGGGGAGTGTCCCAGGCACTCTACTCAGAATGTCCCTTTTTCTACTATAACAACTCTTTTTATTTATTTATTTATTTATTGAATTTCTGGACAAATCTCTGCATAGAATTCCTGAAGGAAAGATTCTAATCTTTAAGAAGTTTATAAACCACTGCACTAGATGGTAGTGCTTCTAAGGACATAAGAGCTTAAACAAACAAACAAACAAAAAATCACATATCCTACATTAAAGTTTCCAGTTTAAAAACTGAGTATCTCTTTCTTTTTAAAATAATCAATTTTTCTTTAACAATGAAGTTTCTTTAAAATATTCTGAGGGAACTTTGATGGTTTCAAAGGCACATATATGTCAAAACTTATCAAATTGTAAAATTTAAATCTGTGCAATTTACTATATTTCAAATTACACCTGAATAAAGCTGTAAAAAATGGTTATGATGCACAAATCAAAAACACACCTTAAAAAAAGTTCCACTGATACTGATGTGACAAGTAGGAAGAAGCTAACTGATCAGACCAATTATTTCTAAAGAATACTGATCATCTACCATAAGCCAAATATAATTCACAGTGTGGTGAGTGTGTGGGTATAGATGGGAAAAGGAAATAGTAAAGAGAAGAATGTCATACTAGCTGCACTCAAGAGAGTTAAGAATTTAGCAGGAGAGAAGAAAAAAAAATTTCCAACAAGTTGGCAATAAATTACATGTCAAATGAGTGAAATACAGAGGAAGACAACTATCACTGAAGATTGGGGTAGTCAGGGAGCTTTCTGAGGTAAACAGGCAGAGAGGATAAGAACATGAATAGGCTCTGAAAAGCTTCTATTAAGGGGCCAGAGATGTTGAGTCTGGTTGAAAGAAAGGATCTCTGCAGGCTTGAATGACTGGTTAAAGAATATGACTTGGATTCTTTAGGCAATTGGTGTATGGCTTATGTGGGGACAGGAAATGGGGACTACAAAATTCAAACCAACAAATAAAAATACAAAAAGATTATGAGCAAGTGAGTGACCTGATAAAAAGTGGCATTTGGAGAAAATTAATTGGATGTTTTAGAAAATGGACAGAGAAACAGCAAAAAATGGGAGATGAGATAAACAGTTAATTATAGTAATGTAGGATTAAAGAGGAAAAAAAAAAGTGGGAATGACAGCAAAAATGAAAAAGAAAAAAATTCCAGAAACGGCTGTTTCAGGTATGCATAGGTGAGGGAAAAAACCCAAAGATAACTGGTCTGATTTTAGGCTTAAGTTTATTAAAAAATGGTGTCACTGACAAGAATTGAGAAGTCATAGGGAAAAGTGGTTTTATTTTTGGAGGATAAGAAGACAGAAGAAAGGGTGAAATCAAAGGTTGGTTTTAGATATGCTGAACTTAGGGAAATAGGACATTACAGAAAAAATGTCCATCAATCAGCAGGAAACCTGTTGCTATCATAAGGTAAGACTAGAATCTTTATTTCAGAGGTAGTAAATGGATATTGCAAATGTGGTTAAATATTCCTGGGGATGAAAAAAAATGTGGAAAACTAAATAGAGACTGTCCATGATAGAAAACAGGATCAAAAAGAAAAGCTAAGAAAGGAAGAGAGAGAGATGTACTCTGAAGAGTGCCAGCTACATAGTAGGAACTCAATAAATATTTGTGAATTAAAAAAATGAACAAATGCACGAACAGTCAAACATAAAAAACAAACCAGAATAGTAGTATGTTAATTGCAGCCACACACAAAAAAATCCATGGAGACAGTACTTGATCATACTAATTGCTGCAGAGAAACAACAAATAAGAACATAACAAAACCAAAAAATCTTAAAACACTGACAATGTTACCAGTGATCTTAAGCATAAAGAGTTAACAGAACAGTGATCAAGACCAGATCACAAAGGAACGAGTGGCTAAATAAAAAAGTGGAAGCAATATTTATTCATTCTACAGATATTTATTATGTGCCTTTAATGTGCATGCATTTTTCTGAACGTTCAGAATATATAAGTGAACAAAATAGAAAAATAAATCTCTGCCTTTATGGAGCTTACAGAAGGGGTGAGGTAGGAGATAGAGACACATATAGCAGGTAAAGGAGCAGACAGAACTGTTATCATTGAGAGGCTTAGCAGAGGAGTGAGAGAAACTGGATGGTAACCTGAGAAACTATCGAGGGTCGTGGTTCTCTGGGCATCCAGAGAAGGGTCTCTCCACAGCCCATACTGGCTGTTTCTTAGATTGGCAAATTGACCATGGACAGAAGAGAGGAAGAGCTAGCTGAATGAACGATATCAAATAGGGTGAATAAAAGAAGCACTGTACCTGGTTTGAGATGCTGGAAACTGCTGCTGCTGGAATATTGGCAACTGTAGATGAAGTGGATATCAGGCTGGCATTTGTGCTTGAAGCTACAGGATTGAGAGTGTTAAGAGATATTAAAGACATTATATAAAAGGCTAGAAGAAATTGAAAATACATTGTACCTTAAATAGATCTACAAGGATATAAAGAACATTAGCAAAGGAAACAAATACTCGTTTAGCTCTTTTGTATGCTGTACCATAATTTAGACTTGATTAGATAAAATAGCTCAAATATTTTCTGGTTTCGACTTGAGCCTTCAACTATTCCTACTAAAGTCCTAGAAGGGCACAAGGGCACATATACAATGCACTGGTTCATACTAATGATACCAATGAAATCAGAAGCTAAACCAAATGACTATAGTCCATCTTCTCCAGCAGTTGAAAAATTACTCACCTGCAATGTGGCCTACTGACAATCAATAGAAACAAGAGTTCTGGTAAATCCCCATGTAAATCCTACACTGTGATATTTATTGTCACTTGCCCCAAATTATGCCTTTCCTGATGCAACATAAATTGAGTTGGTCCTCCAAATTCTAAAGTGCTTGGAGTTGTTTCTTAGGCACTACTCAAATAACAGATTACTAATGTGGATCAAAAACAAACAAACAAACAAAAAAACAATCTGGCATTTAATAATTTTACTAATAAGCCTGGAAAAACTCAGAAAATATTAAATATTCTGGCTAGGTAAAAATGTACTCTATAAGCTAATTAGGCTGCTTGTTTTGGGATAAGGAATTTGGGTTAAGTTTTTCACACCCTTCTATCACAATTCCACCAGGGTTGTTGTTTTTTAGCTGTCCACCAGGGTTTTAATCAAATCCTCAGTGACTAGTATTTGACACAGAGGTTTTTTTCAGATGGACAATATATCTAAAATTGAAGTACTGGTCTTGAATTTCTCTCACTCATGTATCATAAGCAGACTCAGGTCCCCACTGCAGTCACAAACACCGTAAGCGTTTGGCATCAGGTAGACCTATCTGACTACTTAGTCCATTAACAACAAAGTCCTCTAGACCAGCAGTTCTCAACCTTTCACAGGGGTCACCTAAGACCATCGGAAAACACATATTTTCCGATGGTCTTAGGAACCGAGACACCGCTCCTCTATCCGTCTCCAGGCCCACATGCAGATATGCCCACATTCGAGTACCCGGCGACCCCTGTGAAAGGGTCGTTCGACCCCCAAAGGGGTCGCGACCCACAGGTTGAGAACTGCTGCTCTAGACGGAAAGTTAATAGGAAAATCTCCATTAAGAATAGGGCAGGTGAACAAATGCAGCAGAACCTTCAGAGTACTGGTCAAAATCAGAATAATCCCTTTCCTCAAGGGTACTCTGCTTAGAAGAAAATCTAGAAGAGATAAAGGCAAACTGGATATAAGGAACAGTTACTGCTGCAATGCCAGCTTTCAGGTGAAGAACGTGAGGACAAAATACAGTTAAAGTAATTTGTCTACAGTCAGAGAGCTAGTGGTAGAGTCAAGATGACAAACCTGGGATCTCCCAATTCTTTATCAGTTGCAGATTTAAAAACAAAAGTAGCAGCAATAAAATATGCAACAAAAGGTACAAATCTGGAGGATCAAATAAAACTCAAGTGGTAGCTCCTACTGAAGTATATCTAAAGGCTACTAGCTCTCCAAATGCTAATGGCACAGCCAATTGTTTTTGGATAGTCTTCACTCCTGTTCTGACAATGGAGCGTGAAATCATAGAAAGACAGTTTCTGAGAACCATGCCTCACTTGGGGTCCACGTAGTATAGTCAATATATAGAGGCAGCTCTAACCAGAAGGCTGTGGTTATAGAACTGAGAGAGGCACAACTGAATTAGGTGACAGTGCCCCAAAGCTGGAGGCTTAACCTGAGGGTTAATGGCACTTAAAAACGGTGCAAGATTTAGTTTCTACCCACCCCTTTAACTTTATATATGTCTCGCCACCACCCTTGCTCACCCTGGCTTTTGGTTACTCAAAACAAGGTTCATTTTCACTGGAGGACTTTTGCAAAGTTGCTCTCTCTGGATTGTTCTCCGTGGCCTGTCCTCATCCTTCTAGCATGCTGGCTCTTCCTTCTCAGAGACTCTCTCTGACCCCTCTATTAAAATGAACTCCTTTCTTGTCTCCCAATCATAGCACTCTATTCTTTTTTGCTCTCAGAGCACTTTTCAAAATCTATTTATTTATTTACTTGTTTGTTTTCTATCTCCTCCACTAGTCTGTAAGTTCCATGAAGGCAGAATCTTAGTATCTTATTCTGGCCTACAGTAGGTGATGCTCAATAAATACTTGTGGGATTCATTTACATCTTTTATCTATGTATAACTTGTACAATTCATGTATAGCATGTCAAGGTCATCAAAAACAAGGAAAGTCTGAAAAACTGCAAAATCAAGAGGAGCCTAAGGAGACATGACATTAAGTGAAACGTGGTGTCCTGGATGGGATTCTGGGACAGAAAAAGGATATCAGGTAAAAACTAAGGAAATTTGAATAAACTATGAACTGAGTTAATAATAATGCATTAATATTGGTTCATTAATTGTAACAAACGTCCCATTTTAATGGAAGATGTTAATAACGGGAAACTGTGTGCAAGGTGGGGGATATATTGGGTTGTCGGAAAAGTCATGACACATTTTTGCAACAAAAAACAATAGAAAAATACATCATGACTTTTCCGACAACCCAATATATAACTGTATTATCTGCTCAATTTTTCTATAAAACTATTTTAAAAAATAAAGTCTATAAAAAAACAAATCCGGTTAACAAAAGACTATTGTGTATTACCAACTACATGAGAGCCCAGACATTCATTAAAAGTCAAGATTGAGTTAAAATTAATTTTCAAATTTCTGTAATTAATTTTGCCACTTGAATATTAATCATTTAAACCATCTCAACTGAAGAAAATCGCCAGAGAATGGGCCACTACTTAAAGACATGCTAGGAAAAGACTGATATAAAAAAGTCAGATCTACTTAATCAAAGGGTTCTGAGCACTGAGGTATAAATTAAAGGCTCTGATCAGAGTTGCTCAAGACTGTGGAATTTGGTTTTTGAGATAATTTCCCAACTTCCCCAAGGAAGATAGGCTATTGTCAACTGTAGAATGCTTTGGGTGGGATGAGGGGACATTGCTGTGTTGACTACTTGAAAAAAAATCAATACTATGCTCCTTGTTTTTATGCTGTGGAATGACTGGGTAGTTACATAGGGGGAAGGAAGACACCCTGGACAGCTAACATTTGTCCATGCTAAAGGAAATGGAAAGTGGGGTCGAGGAAAATGCTATTGATAGTGGAGAACCCAGGTAATTTAAACGTGCCAATAATACCCATATTTCTTTTTTGTTTAGCCGAGCCATCCGGCCACCTGTTGGCAGCTCACCTTGGGCAGTGAATTGAACCGGTGACCCTGCTGCTCAGAGCTCACACTCTTGAGTGAGCTCTTAACCAACTGAGCCACTCGGCCAGCCCTAATAATACCCATATTTCATTTTAGCCAATTGTTTCAACTTATTTTCTACCATTTTTTTCTTCAGAATGGCAAAATAACAATAATAATAATTCATCAATTTAATGAACGTTTTTTTTTTTTTTAAGCTCAAGTGGAGTGATGAAAATATCCAGAAAAGGAGAGCCTAAGGGAGGTATGGAAGCTCAAATGGGGCTTGGAGGGTGTTCAACAGGACAGGCAGCTTGCTGAAAGGCAGGTGCAGTGATTTTTTTTTTTAATTAAAGTTTATTGGGTGACAATTATTAGTAAAGTTACATAGGTTTCAGGTGTACAATTCTGTAATACATCATCTATATATCACATTGTGTGTTCACCACCCAGAGTCAGTTCTCCTTCCGTCACCATATTTATCTGATCCCTTTTACTTTCCTC